ATATATACATGCATACATGCATATATACATGCATACATACATACATAAATACATAAATACATACATATTCGAGTACACAGCTAGATTCACAGATATAAGCATGCACATGCAAATAATACCCACGCACACACTAAAAGACAGACACTCAAAAACAAACGCACATACCCATATCAACAACATGAAACAACAGCAAAGCAAATGACAACGAGGCACAAGCAACACGCTCCAACGCAAACAGATTATGGACGTGATATAAACACCTCTAATGAACAAGAATGTAATCGCCTCTCGTGTAAATAATGTCCCCCTCCCTTTCTCCCCCGCTCTCCGCCTACAGATACAGCTGTATGGTTTTAACGCAGATTTGTATCGCAACATGACAGAGGCCAGAATGGGATCCAACGGCATTGTTGGACTCTCCATCATGGTGCAGGTGAGGAATAGAGGGGAAATGAGACAGGTGGACAGACAGAACGAAGAGAGAGTGAGGGGAAGGAAGGAGGGAGGGAGGGAGTGAGAAAGAGAGAGAGAGAGAGAAAGGGGGGAAGGAGGGAGGGAGGGAGGGAGTGAGTGAGTGAGTGAGTGACTGAGTGACTGAGTGAGTGACTGAGTGAGAGAGTGAGAGAGAGAGAGAGAGAGAGAGAGAGAGAGAGAGAGAGAGAGAGAGAGAGAGAGAGAGAGAGAGAGAGAAAGAGCAAATTCCCTGTCAATAATAATTCGTATATTATTAATGTTAATTGAGATGGATGTTATGGGTAGTGTGGGGTCAAATCTTGTTCCAACCCAGAATAATCACTTATCTATAAATAAACATCAATTCTCCTCCACATTCGCCTTGACACAGAATGACGTAGTTAAATGAGTATCTAGTTCTACCGGTATTTCTATTTTAGAAAACTAAACACATTCATAAAGCTTAGGAAGGGACACGATATAATAAACATCATCCCCGTCTGCTACCTCAGGTGGGCGAGGAGGGCAACGAGGAGCTGCGCATCCTGTCCTCGGGCTTCAACAAGGTGGTGTACCGAGGCATGAAGTGGCCGGTGAAGCACCTGTCGCTGGCGGGCCTCCTGCCGGACACGCACCACTACATGACCTACGACGGCTCCACGACCCACCCCGGCTGCTGGGAGACGTCCACGTGGCTCGTCATGAACAAGCCCATCTACATCACCAAGCAGGAGGTGAGGGAGAGTGAGAGGGAGAAAGAAGGGGGAGGGAAGGAGGGAGACGTAGAGCTGTTGGGAGACGTCCACGAACAAGGCCATCTACATCACTAGGCAGGAGGTGAGGGAAGCAAGAGAAAGAGGGAGAGGAAGAGAGGTAGACGTGAATGAGGAAAGTTAAGAGGAAAGGAGGAAGAAGAGGAGAGTGAAAGCAAGAGAGACGGGGCTGCAGAGAGACGTCCACGTTCCTCGCCATGATCAAGATTGTCCGATATAGTCAGTGATTCAGACTTCCTCCTGCCCCTCACCGAGATGAGAAGGAATGGGGAGAAGTAGAAAGGAAGAGGGAAAGAAAGAAAGAAGGCAGGAACTGCAGCACACGGAGAACAGGTAGGAATATAAAGGCAGAAGGGGAAATGGAAGAGCGAAAAGAAGAACAGAGAAGGAAACAGGCAAAGGCAGGCAAAGAAAGGGACAGAAAGGGGAAACGGAAACATTGATGCAAGGCTTTTCGGGCTCTGGTTTGTCTGTTTGTTTTTACATTTTGTATTCTGTTTGCATTAAGAGGGTTATTCCATTTTCATTCATTTAGTAGTCATCTGTATCTTTGGAATTAATCTACTAAGGTTATATCAAACAAATCTGCACTGATCCAACAAAACAAATACCGATACATACATACATATATAAACACAGCTGCTGCGCAAATACTGACTTGTTAGTAGAAGTATTTGCCGAGTTGGCCAAGCCAATGTATTTCTGTACCGAAATAGTTCGAGATAAATCCGATTATATCGCCATCCCCTTAACATGAATGGCGAAATACGACTTTCGCCATTCTTCAAGTGGAAGACGAATTAGCTAGCTTCTTTTACCTCTTATAGACCTGAATCAGACTAACGCATTTTTCTCCCCCTCCTCCTCCTCCGGAAGCTGTACGCCCTTCGGCAGCTGATGCAGGGCGACCAGGCCCTCCCGAAGGCGCGGATGGCCAACAACTTCCGTCCCGTGAAGGCGCTGCACCACCGCACCGTCAGAACCAACATCGACTTCACCAACGCCCACCGCGCCAAGGCCTGCCCCTCCATGCACAGGGAGATGTACTACGCAGGTAATGCTACTGCGAGCGAGGATTACGTGTTACTTTTTTTAGCTTTGTTGAACTCAAATGAAATGTTTGTGCTTGCGTTTGTATGTGCGAGTATGCATGTGAGTATATGTTAACTGAAGATAAAAGAGCGTATGGGTTTGTGTAAGTTTATGTGTTTGTATGTTGCTCTGTGCATATGTGTTTGTGTGTGTGTGTAGGAGAGTGATAGCGAGAATTTTGT